GAGAGAGAGAGAGAGAGAGAGAGAGAGAGAGAGAGAGAGAGAGAGGAGACTGCTGATGGGAAGGCTGGGCTACATTCCACATTTTCCTCCAAAATATGCAGGATCTTTGACCTTTAACTTCAAGATTATTTTCCTTAATGAGCAAAAATTTCAGTAATCTGCCTTCTGTGCTAAAAATTGAAGATGTTTTCACGGCAAAATGTTTTATTTTTCTCTTTCATTTTCCCAGAAGTGCATTTATCGTTAACAGCCTCACCCCAGCAAAAAAGTTGTCAGGATCTTATTTTATCATTTTATTTGCTGGCTGATTTTTAAAAATAATATTCTTATTTATTCTTTGAAATGTCCATACATTTATAGACTGTGTTCTGATCATATCTATCCACTGCCACCTCCGCCAACTCTCTCTAGTGACCCCCTTCTCTTCTTAACCTTCTGTTCTCTTTCTTTGTTTTCAATCCCTCAAGGGTAAGTTTTTGTAGCTCATTTTTCATAGATTTTCTATTTTTTCATATTAGATTTTAGAAGGCAATTGATTTATGACATTGAGATGAACATGACCCCTTCTGTCCCCTTTTGACTTCAAACATCCCAATAATTCATCTACACTAGTTTTAGGGCAAATTCTGAGATCTGACTTGTGGGGTACATCCACCTTGTCTTTCTCCTGTTCCTTATCCTCTATCAGAGTGCTGAGGTCCTGAAGCTCAAGACTTAGGTGGGATTTTCTGTCTTCCTCTGCTTGATGCTTTCAGTTTTGCTTTATACACAGTGGGCATCCAGTAAATACAAACTGGAATGACGTCAAGCAAAAGCCAGAGCTGGGAGGGTCAGAGCCAGCTCCAGATGAGATACCATGCTCATCACTGCCTTCTTCCTACGGACTGAGGGACCACCATCTTCCCTACAGCATCTTGTGGTCCAATCCAACCAGACAGCACATTTCCCTGTTGCACTATACCAAGAAAGAAAGGGCAAGATGGCATGGGATTTATATGAGATATAAGTTGCATTAGATACTGTACTGGGTCACAGACTCTCCGTTTCTAACCCTTTGACTGCGGTTGCTGTTGCATTTTTGTTGTTTGTTTGTTTGTTTTTGGGTTTTTTTGTTTTTGCCTGACTAGACACCTTTACCAAGTCAAGAACTCCAGAGCAGCTCAAGCGTTGCCCATGGGTCTCACTCCTTCCTCCTTTTCTGCAGGATTTTGTTGGACAGATGGAAATGCCCCAGCCTGGGGATGCCTGTCCATAACACCCACCTGCCAGTGGCAGCTATGTCACAGGGCGACAAGTGTGTTGACTAGTCCAGTCTTCCTCAAGTCTCTGCAAGCCACTCTAAGAGCATCTGTGAGACAAGGCTGAGGCCAGACTCTCCATGAATTATGTAGAAATCCCAGCTCAGCCCCTTTTCCCTGACTGTTCCTGCTTCCCATGAGACCTACTCCTCAATAAACAATGCCCCCTTAATCGTCACATCAGGTCCTACTTCTGGTAATATCTGCATTGCTGCCCATCTGAAGATGAGTGCCATCCCTCCAGGAGGGAGCTCTCCAAGCCCTACCTGGAAAAGCAGGAAGAACTCACAGTACCCTACAGCACTGTGGGGGTCTAATGAAGTGCCTTCGCTTTTCCAGAGGCTCCCTTGCTTTCTCTTTCCCAGGAAACGCTCCAGGGGCCACAGTTCTAGCTTATTCCACTTCAAGTTCTAGCCATCAAAGTCATTTGTGACAGCTCATCTTCATCTTCGCCTTGACGGGACTGGGAAGCACCTGGGAGATGTACCTCTGGGTGTAGTTCTGAGGTTCAGGGAGGAGAAAGGACCCTGCTCTGAGTGTGCAACACCACCCAGTGGGCTCCCATCCTAAACTAAATAAAAAGCCATAAAGGAGAAATCCAGTTGGATACATACATTCCCTCCCTGCTTGGTGATGATGGTCACACACGTGACCCTCAGTCATCTCAGGTTCCTCTATCCATGATGGACTGTACCCTCAAACTACGAACCTACAGAAACCTTTCCCTTCTTAAGTTGCTTTGGCCACAGCTGCAATCATGGTACTTACTTTAATTCGGAAGTTAAGTGTGGGCTAAAAGAGGCTTCTGTGGAGCATGGGAGAAAGTGGGTGCAGAGATGAAGTAATGGTTGCTCAGAGGAAAAGGAGATAAGCCATGAATTTTCTTCTTTTTTTTGTTTTTATTGAGTTATATATTTTTCTCTGCTCCCCTTCCTTTCTCTCCATTCCTTGTCTACCTTCTCCCACAATCCCTACACTCCCAATTTACTCAGGAGATCTTGTCTTTTTCTACTTCCCATGTAGATTAGATCTATGCATGTCTCTCGTAGGGTCCTCTTTGTTGTCTAGGTTCTCTGGGCTTGTGAATTGTAGGCTGCTTTTCTTTGCTTTATATCTAAAAACCACTTACGAGTGAGTACATATGATATTTGTCTTTCTGGGTCTGGGTTACCTCACTCAATATGATGTTTTCTGGATCCATCCATTTGCCTGCAAATTTTAAGATGTCATTATTTTTTTCTGCTGTGTAGTACTCCATTGTGTAAATGTACCACATTTTCTTTATCCATTCTTCGTTCAAGGGGCATTTAGGTTGTTTCCAGGTTTGGCTATTACAAATAATGCTGCTATAAACAGAGTTAAGCACATGTCCTTGCGGCACGATTGAGCATCCTTTGGATATATACCCAAAAGTGGTATTGCTGGGTCTTGAGGTAGATTGTTTCCTAATTTTCTGAGAAAATTGTTTGATTTCCAAAGTGGCTATACCAGCATGCACTCCCACCAGCAATGGAGGAGTATTCCCTTAACCCCACATCCTTTCTAGAATAAGCTGTCATCAGTGTTTTTTATCTTGAAGAAGATACCAGAAAATGGAAAGATCTCCCATGCTCTTGGGTAGATAGAATTAACACAGTAAAAATGACAGTCTTACCAAAGCAATCTACAGATTCAATGCAATGTCCATCAAAATCCCAGCAAAATTTTTCACAGACCTCAAAAGAACAATACTCAACTTCATGTAGAAAAAAAAAACCCAGAATAGCCAAAACAATCCTGTATATAAAGGAACTACTTCTGGAGGCATCACAATCCCTGACTTCAAACGCTACTACAGAGCTACAGTACTGAAAACAGCCTGGTACTGGCATAAGAACAGACAGGAGGACCAATGGAATTGAATCGAAGACCCAGATATCAATCCACAAACCTATGAACACCTGATTTTTGACAAAGAAGCAAAAAATATAAAATAAAAAAAAGAAAGCATATTCAACAAATGATGAATAACTAGATATCAACATGCAAAAGAATGAAAATAGATCCATATCTATCACCATGCACAAAACTCAAGGCCAAATGGATAAAAGACCTCAATATAAAACCAACCATACTGAGCCTTATAGAAGAGAAAATGGGAAGTATTCTTGAACACATTGGCACAGGAGACCACTTCCTAAATATAACCCCAGCAGCACAGACACTGAGAGCAACAGTAAATAAATGGGACCTCCTGAAACTGAGAAGCTTCTGTAAAGCAAAAGACCCGGTCAACAAGATAATACGACAGCCTACAGAATGGGAAAAGATCTTCACCAACCCCACATAGGACAGAGGGCTGATCTCCAAAATGCACAAAGAACTCAAGAAACTGGA